CGCTTCCACTGGGTTGAGAGGAACCAGCATTGCCAGGTACGCTCGGTGGCTGACTGCGTCTGCTGCGATGAGAGGGACCAGGACTAGGTGGAACAGGAATCCGATCACTAGAATCTTCAGGTACACTCCGTTGCCGATCACGCGCCGGCTGCGGATTTGCTGGACCAGGAACGGCGGAACGAGAAAAATTGCCCAGAGAACCAGCCATCGAACCGGCGGCAGACGGCGCCCTTACAGAGCTGGGTTGGCTTGTGTGGTGCCTGGTGGGGTATTGAGAACCAGCTGTGGAAGCTCCCGGAGACTGGGCAACAGGTCGTGGGATGCCACTCGGTCTCGAAATCCTTGATTGCTGTGAACGTACCGAAGGGGCAGGACCATCCTGACCACCACTTGGTCCAACAGGTCTGTCAGTAGGCTGAGTTCCATCCTGACCACCACTTGGTCTAACAGGTCTGTCAACTGGCTGCGTTCCAGGTTGAGCACCGCCTGGCCCAACATTTCGAAAAGCTGGATGATCTCCAATAGTGTCGAAATCATCCAAATTATTTGGATTCGTGGCCCTAGGCGGATCTGACGCAGGGGGAGGTGCTGGCTGAAGCAGCAAACTTGATCTTTCGATATCAGTGTTGCGACGAGGACTTCGAGGCTGTAGTCTGAGAGCGCTCAAGACCCGTCTTGTCAAATCTCGACCGCTCCGACGTTGTTGGCTGCCGCGTCTTGCTGGACTTGGAGACTTTTGTACGGCTCCAGAACGATCGTTTCTGTTGTCGCCTCTGAAGCGTTGCACCAATCGCCGGAGCCGAGATGGCCTTTGCCTTGCCGCGGGACTCGAGCGGCGGTTACCCGTCTCGCGTCTCGATGCCCTAGGCGGGTGGGTGATCGATGCGTGAGTTCTTGGGCGATCAGCTCTGTCATTCCGCCTCGAAACATTAGGCTCGTCTCGCGTTCGTCGTTCAGGAGGACATTCTCTGTTCTGCCTTTCAGGGCGTGGAGTTGGAGTCCGAGGATTCATGAAAAGACGATCGTCTCTTTCTGGTTGGTTCGGATCCTGTGGAAGCCATGGCCATGGTAGCCCTCCTTGTGGCTGATCTCCCTCATATGGCCTCGACCGAGGCTCGGAAGGGCCTGCACTTTGACGGTGTCCATCGAGGTCACGATTCCCATCGTTGCCGTAGTCGTTTTCTCGAGCGTACCCGCCTTGTGTGCCGCGCTCGTAATTTTGACCATTGTGGTGATTGATATCGAAGTACCCGCCTTGTTGACTAGACTCATCCTGGTTGTGGTGGTGATCTTGTTCGGAGTAGCCGCCTTGCTGACTACGCTCATTTTGATCCTCGTTACCATCACGAGGCAATCTCCACGAAGCGCCTGCACTTGTCGAACTCTGAGATAAGCTATTTGGTTGAAGAATCTCGGGCTGGTGCGGAGGCGGATCTCTGTTCTCAGGAGGGCTGCCTGGAGGAGAAACTCTAGCTGCAAGCCGAGCCTGACGCTCCGCCGCGATTCTCCTCCTCCATGCGGTATCACGTCGCGGTTTGCCCCAGCCCTCTGAAGAGCTGTTGGAGCGTGAAGGATCGTGAGTGCCCGCTCGTAGAGGGAAAATATGTGGAGGCCACGGTGTAAAAGTGGACGGTGGTTCTGCTTCCGGTGCTTGCTCTTGAACATCAGCTTGATCGTAATCATCGAAGTACCCCAGTCCATCGGCAAGCTCTTCTGGCGGAGGTGGTTCAGGTTGTCCAAAATGGAGAAACGGTCTTGGACGGTGCGCTTGTAGGGGATGATTGCTCCGCGATGGGTCCCGAGCCCACATCTGGCGTGCTTCTGAAGGCGTAATTTCATGATGCGTGCTGGCTGGCCTCGCTTGACGGGGTGCTTGACCTCGAGTAAGTTCCAAATGTCGCTCGATCCACGGTCCACTGGAGTACAAGGGTACGCCTTGACGAACGTAGAGTGGAGTAGTTCCATATGCGTAGGGAGGCTCTACTCTCCTTGGCTGGGGTGGGGTTCGATCACGATGCCCAACCAAATGGCTCCTGTGGTTCCTTCTCGAACTCCGCACTCCAGACAGGGCGCTGTGTCTGATGGTGTGAAGCCCCGAGCTCGCTCCAGACCGATCTTGACGCCTGTTGCCAACCACAGGCGGATGAATGATCAATTCAGACGTCGACCCTGCTCTTGGGCTGTATTGCTGTGGGCTCCGATGGTTAATTAAAGAAGGTTGGTTAGACGGACCAGGTACCGGGCGGTTTTGACCCTGAGGCCCGTTGCCGGTGGTAGCCGTACGGGGAGCGACGTTGACCTGACCAGTTTGTTGGTGTTGTTGCGGAGCAGCGCCGTGGCCAGTCCCAGCTGGTCCAGGAGCAAGATTGGACGGAACAGCTTCTGGTTGGTTTTGATGCTGCCCGAAGCCAGTATCAGTTTCAACAGCGACAAGGGTGTTTGTGAACAGACCCGTTTCTGGATCGAAACGCGTTTGAAAACTGGGCATCATCACAGGTGGGAGTTGAGCCATGTTTGCCTGAACAGTTATCGGATGGATTTGCCCACGACCCCAGCCGATCTCAACTGGGCGTTCAACAATGTTGGCCAGACGAGTTCTTGGTTGAGCAAGACCAGGCGGTCCAACCCTTCGCGTTAATTGCCCCTGTAGCCCCCGGGGCACTTGAGGTGCCGCTGCTGCCGGAACTCCTGCATCCCCATGTCCTAGGACCCATCGTGCCACACTGGAGGGCTCGTTCCCGCGAGGGTAGGATTCGAGCTGCATTCGGCCGAGCGTCATGCCCTGACCCACTGGTATTGGAGAAATAGTCGCCCTGCTGTGAGGGTAAAGGGTAGAGATACTTGGACTCGAAGCGTGTCGGCTGCTACAAGCCGGTGCTGAGTTGTTGCTTGTTCTGACCCGAGTCCAAGGCCGAGTTTCGCTTCCAATGTTTCTTTGTGGTTGCTAGCCACGTTCTGGTATGTCCGCCAAACTGCGAAGCCTTCGGGGGATACCTTGCCAGCGAAGAGTGGGAAGACCCGTCATGGGATAGACAAATTCGGGGAAGTTTGAGGTTTGTGGGACCAAGATGGGATCGAAATCGGGGAACGGGACTCTGCCTGGCTCCGGTTCTGAGGCTGTCCGTCTACGCGTTCGTACAGGGTGCGCGTGTTGACGAACAGAGCGAAGAAAGACGGAGTACACGTTTGTCGGGTCATGGAAGGACATTGGCCCAATTTTTTCGAGCGGATCTTTGACTTCCTGTGCCTCTTTGACTGCCTTGCCAGAAGTTTTAATATCCAGCGAATTTCTTCTCGAACGAACCCAAGGTAAATCGTAGACAGGGGTATCGTGGCGATCATCAACGGCTGGAGAATTGGGGGATCGATCACATCTAGGAGAAAGACTTCGACTTCCATATGGAGCAGGCACTGGAGAGCCAGCACGGTTTACCGCTGGGCCAGTAGTCCAGTAAGCATCATCCTGTCTGTCGGCTGGAATATACTGGTACAAGTAAATTCGATTGCCGTGGTCGTCTCTCTGTCCCATTTCGTCGAGGTTGAGAAGTAGTCGTCCGCAACGAGGGTGAAAGAAAGAGCTGTAGCGAGGGGGCCTATCAGAGGTGGCGAGATCTTGCAGATTGTCTCCCAGCATCGGGATCGAGTCATCGGAATCACCGACCGGTAAGTTGGGGTAAAGTGGATTACATTTGGGCGCGTCGTCGGTATCCTGAGAGTCCTCAAAATCATAAGGTCTCTGGCTACCAATGCCTGCTGGAAATACGGTGAGCTTTTCCGGGCGAGAAGGGTTCGTCAAGGCTAGAAGCTCCGAAGTCCTGTCCTGGGCCGTAGGAGCCTTGCTGTCCAACAGATCAAGCAGTCTCTGCAGCAAACCTGGAAGTGGTTTCTTGGAAGGGCTTTCGCTGGATCCACTGCTGGAGTGAAAGACGGGAGTCTTTTTCAAAGGAGGGTTTGAGTGGCTGGGCGCCGTGCCGACGGGTCGTCTGGGTCTTGTACAAGCCGGGTGTCGGAAAGAGGTGAGTGAGTGCGCATCGAAGCCGGCCTCAAATTCTCGCGCGCCAGGCGTGAAAGCTGGAGGAGACGCTCGAGACCTGGAAACATGGCAACCAGCGTGCTGCCCTGTTGCGGTCTCTCGGCGACGGCTTCTCACAGACGAGACAAGAGTGCGACGGTAGTAAGGATTGCAGGGGTCTTGAGAACACCGCCTGCGTGGCCTTGCCATTGCGGAGGTGCGTCGAGCTTGGTGATTTCGAGGATGAAAGGGCTCGACCAAAGAGCGTCGTGTTGACAAAGTGAGAATTAAAGTGGGAGTGGTGGTGATGGTGGTGGAATGAATATATAAGCTTGCTTGCTTGTTGTTGATTCCCAGGTGAGTGAAATGTAGACTGCCTGGGAGAGTGAAGATGTTATTCGTCGTAAACGATGACAATGTTGGCTATAATGCGATGAGGGATCGTGGATCTGAGATCGATCTGGGACGGGAACTCCACGCGATGAACCGCTAGGAGGCGCGGAGCTGACTCCTGGCCGAGCGACATCGTCGCTTCCTGATGTTGTAGCGTTTTCCGTGGCGACGGCATGATGTTGCCAGGCTTTGAAGAAGGACACGTCGGACAGATCATAAGTCCCACGGTGATTTCCTTGCAAGATTTCCAAAAAGCAGAGAATGGAAGGAAGGAAGTGATTTGTACTTAAGATGCACCTGGACATGGAGCCAAACGGTACTTGAAGTCGGGGTTCTCTGCAGCAGGATTGTGTTTGAGGGCGCCGTGGCGAAAAAGGGCATTCGAGGCAAACATTTAACTCTTGCAATTTGGAGTGCAGGTGAAATGTGCTGTGATGGCGACGTGGTGCAGTGCACGGTAGCAGTACTGAACAGTCCTAGATACAACAGGCAGACAACATCACAGCTGCCCCAATCACCCACCACCAGGCACCAGAACCACCAAACCTCTGCAAGTTAAATTCTCCACATATCACCTTCCCTCCAACAACAAAAGTCCATTGTGGTGTAATGGCAACACAACAGACTACGAAAGCCGGTTGTGGAAGCTGGCAAAGAGGAGAAATGGCGCTTGTCGCCTATCTGGCTGGCCGCCGAAGCGGTAGGCGGTAAATGTCTGGAAACCTGAGTTCGATCCTCGGCAATGGAGTATCTTTTGCGTTGGTGGGCGTCTTGTCCTTTTTGTTTGCTGCTGGGTGAGTGTTTATTTTGGTTGTTTCGTGGATTGTGGTGGAAGGAGAGGAGCTCCGTCAGGCGTGAGGCCCCTCTCCGCCCCAGTGGATGTTTCTGGAAAGCGGCCTCACTTGGAGAGTCAAGCTGCCGGTCACCTCGCCCCTTGACAAGATAGGTGGTCTCTAACAAAGCCAATAAGGGAGGCAGACAAAGAATAAAGCAAACTCCATCCATGACAAGCATAAAAACTTCTTTGACATGTAGGTGCTTCTGAATCGAAATCTAGTATCGCCGCCCCAAACAAAGCTTTCGCCTATTCAAAATCACAAATGCCGCCCAGTCTAAACAATCAATCTAATGACAAAAAGACCAAATATCTCGAACCTCAACAGCAACACTACCCCTCAGATCTCTAGAGCTGCTACCCACGGAAAACGCGTATGTGCCCTTGGCCAGCGCCCACTCCTTGGCTGCCGTGTCCCAGTGGCTGATATCCTTGCGGCGCACCTCGAACGTGACAGTACTCTTGGCGCCCTTGTCGAGAGGCACCTTCTCAAAGCCGCGAAGCTGCCTCACCTGCTGGTTGGCGGCGGCCGGGTACGAGACGTAGATCTGGGTGACTTCGGCGCCGGAGCGCGAGCCGGTGTTGGTCAGCGTTGTGGTGATGGTCAGGACGGTGTCGAAGGTCGGTCTGTGGATTTGTTGGTTAGCCATAGGTTTGTTTGATGCATGCATGATTTACTGACCTTGCCACCAATGGCGATGGGTCCGCTGGGGTACGTCGCGCTCAGTGCCGTCTCGTTCGTCTTCTTGGCCGTCACATCACCGTACTCAAACGTCGTGTACGACAGGCCGTGGCCGAAGGGGTAACGCGGCGTGACGTTGAAGCGGTCAAAGTGGCGGTAGTCAATGTAGACGCTCTCGTCAAAGTCACACTGTGCCGTGTAGCAAATTTTGACCGGGTAGTCGCTCTCGTTCTTTGCAAGGGTGCTGATCAGCTTGCCGCTAGGGTTGACATCGACGTAGAGGACGTCGGCAATGGCGTTACCGCTCTCCTGGCCCAGCATGCCGCCGTACAGCACAGTCGTCACGTTTTCAAGCTCAATCCAGGCGTCAACGAGGCGAGGTCCGACAGTGTCAATAACGACGACAGTGTTGTTGCACTCGGAGGCGACCGACTGGACGAGCGTGTCTTGGTCGGTGTTGTACAGCTCTTCCCTGTCAGCACCCTCGCCGGAGAACGAGTTCAGGAAGACGAGGCAGACTTCAGAGTCCGCTGCATAGCTGGTGATGGAGGGCGTAACTGCTGTGCCTTGGCCGAGGTTGGAGAGCGCATTGCCTCCCCCTCCACCGCCTCCCATGGAGGCTCCGGGCCCGCTGCTCGTGCTGTTGGAACTAGAGTTGTTGGATCCGCTGGGACCCCCGGTGCCGCCAGTGGTGGGTGGCGAGCCCATGCCCATACCAGAAGAGGGGGAAGAAGTGTACGTGTCGTTGAGGATCCAGCGAATCATGCTGCCATCGGCAGCAGCCCGCGTCGCGAGGCTCTGGTAAGGAGTAATGAGGTGGGAGAAGGAGAGTTGGCCGCTGCCGCTGCCCGATACCAAGTGGCCCTGGTACGTGGGACCGCTCGACCCTTGGACACTGAAGGGCTGGTTGGGGCCGGCCATGGCAGGACCAGCATGAGCACCAAATACGCTGATGGACTTGGGGCGATCCAAGGGAAGACCGCCGCCATTTGTGACGTTGTTCTTCAGAAGGACAAGAGACGCGGCACTGACCTCGCGGATCAGAGCCGAATGGTTGGAGCGAACATCGCGGTAGTCGGTCGAGCCGGCCTCAGAGGGTTGTTTGCCGTCGTCCAGTCCAACATCGTAGTATCCAATGACGTTGCGGATGGCCATGTCGTCGAGAGGCGCCTGGGTGAAGGAGCCGTTGCTGATGCCAGCCTCCAAAATTGTCGACGTCCAGAGAGAGCTTGATCCGTAGTCCAGGCCAGCGTTAGCTGAGCCGTAAGAGGTCGATTGCGAGTTTACGTCTGGGAAGACCATGCCGGGGAAGCCAAGCTCCTCCTTGAGAAGTTCAGAGACAATATGGCTGTTTTCGCACGACTGCGAGTTGTTCACCCGGGACATGGCGCACATAACGGCGGCCATGCCTGCCTTGACACCGTCCTGGAACGGCCAGAGGTAGAGTTCATGGATAGTCTGCGCGGGTCAGTTTTATTGCTGCCAGCTTGAAGGGACTGAGACATACCTTATCATCAGCGTTAGACGAATACACCGAGGACGTCGAGTCCGACGTGCCAGTGGATCTGTTCGTCTCCTGCTCATTGAGCAGAAAGTGCCTGCCGCCTGCAATGACACCAGCCGAGTTCATTCCACCAATGGTTTTGGCCAGGGCAACGCCGCTAAGGTACGGGTCGGGCGAGAAAGCTTCTGCTTGACGACCGCCCCACGGGGTGCGACCAAGAGGCCCAGCCTCGGGACCGTTGATTAGGTTGTAGCCCATGAGGTAAAACTCACGGCCCGGAGCTTTCGCCTCGGCTTCAAAGTAGTCTTTGTCCCAGGTCATGGCCAGGGCATTGCCCATGGGAAAACCGGAGACGTAGTATTGGTAGTTGATTCCAGCAAAGCCATCCTTGTTGGCAAGAGCTGTCCAAGAGGAGCCATTGGACGAGTCGACATCGCTGCCGGTAATGATGGAAACCTTTTGCGCGTTGGTCAGTCCAGACACAAAAGCTTTGGCTTTCGCATAAGCGTCAACAAAGTCGCCGAGATCCTGAACTATTCAGCAAAACGTTAGCCATCAAGCAAAGTGCATGACCTGGGCCAACTCCCAGTTCAGGGCTAGGGCACATACCATGTCCAGATGACAGAATAGCCGCGTTGGAGGAGTTTGATGCCGCACTCGCGCCGCAAAACAGCGTCGAGGCAAGACCGAAAGCTGCCGCAGCTTTCAATTGGAGAAATGGAAAGACCAAATAGAATGTATAGACGATGACGAAACGAGAGGACTGGCAGGTTCTGAAGAAGGCAAAGGAGACAGGGGGATCGGTCAACTATGTATACCCGACCCCAATGCTTTTTTGATATGGAGCGTCGCCATCATCACAGGCCGTCCTAGGACCGCGTTTCTCAGATAGGGTGCTGTCGTAACCCCAGGATCGCCCGCGAGTATGGCTGACACCAAGGTGTTTTTTGATTAGTCCAGGAGGCCCGACAATGCCAAAGGCAGGGCAGTACGCGACGTAATGGTCCACGAAGCGTCCATGAAGTGTCCAGCGCGAGCGCGCGGCAGCGGAGTGGTTGGCCGTTGGATGGAAAGGCGCGAGTGTGGACTCACCAAGGTTCGGAGCTCGGGATTTTGCTTTTGCTGTGCAGTGCTGCTCGTCACCGGCTCACCAGCCCGAACTGGCAGTTTGCGACATCCAATGGGCTGTGCTCTTCTCCACTGACTCTGTGTCGGAAAAGCTTGGCCTTCTTTAAAGTATCCGCATCGGCGGCGAGATCTGACGTCACATCTTGTTTGGACTGCGCGGTCCAGTATTTTGCGCGCGCGCGGAGTAGAAGTTGGGTTCCCCTTGCGGTGAAGATCCTAGCACAATGCCGACATCCTTTCCAAGGGTTTTGTCTGCGTAGATCAACGTTAACTATGTTCTGCAATTTGGTGAGATGGCTCTCGAACATGGAAGAAACAGGCGGTGTCAACTGTAAGGGAGGCGATACCGCGCTGCGCGACAGGCAGAGAGCGTCTAGACCTGTGGACAAACGCGCCGATGCAAATTGCCCGGTCCATGTGCTCTATGCAGGAAGTCCATCGCAACGTGCGTGAGACACATGGCACCCCGCAAACTGCAGAAACACCTCCCCTGGCCAACTCCCACTTGTTGCGTCGTCATAGCGCGGTCGCACGCCCAAGCACATTTACAGGATATTCTGGCGATAACTTTGCTTTGCCTGCCTCAGGTCTGATCTTGCTTCTTCTCCTTGTGCAAGAGCAACAGATCTCAGTGCGCGGATTGACAAGCAGGGATTGTGCATTGCCCAACTGCCACGCGGCTCTGTAAGGAGGTCAAAATAAGGCCCTTGGCAATCCGCCAATGAAGCTCCTCGAGCAGGAAAATACGCCAGGAACACTCGGAAATTCCGATTTTGCGGCTGCTTCCGCCTCCGATCGGACTGCCAGCAGCCAGCCTTACGGCCATCTTTAAGCGAAAACCAACCACGTCCACGCAATCAACGCCAGCGACGACGTCAGAGCGTCCTGCTTGTGTCATGTTTCCCGCTGCACCCAGTGTCTCCACCAGGCCGATTGCGGCTCCAGGGAAAAAAAGAGAGGGAAAAGGTGGAAAAGAAAGCAGAGACGAGGAAAGTCAATGTGGCCGATAGCTGGTCATTCCACTTTGCACTGCTGATCGCAAAAAGTGGAGTTTTGGGGGCCGCCGATTTGAAATTTTGGCAGGGGCGAAGAAGTTGGGGCAAAGTTGGGGCCCTTGTGGGGATGAGGGGAATTCAAGCGATTCCCCGGGAAGGGTCTGAATGAAGAAGACACAAGACCAGCTTTCCATGTGACAGGGATTCCAGCGTGTTCTCTATGACACAAAAGGGCTGCGTGTTCCCCATCTCTTTGGCAAAAGCAACAAACAAACGTTGTCTGTCCCCGCATCTTCTGGAAAACTTCGGTCTCCTTGTTTTGGTGCAAGTACGACCTGGGCGAGGTTGCTACAGTGCCGTTGCCAGGCATCACAGTCAAATTCGGAGTTGTCATTGCAAAGGTAGCCTGCAGATGAACGATTCCTGCTTGTCCCATGAGAGGAGAGGGTTGTGCGATCAAGGAAGAAGTTGATCGAACTGTTGGTGCGCCTGATACTGTGGGTTCACTGAGACGGAAAGTTTCCAAGCCTTCCCAGCGCTGGGCAGCAAGGTGGAGTGGTCTCCAGGCTCAGAGCTGATTCAAATTCAATTAGTCCTCGGCTCG